TCAACTCCCAGAATTCCTCAGCCAGCAAAGCTGGCTGAGGAATTCTGGGAGTTGAAGTCCACAAGTCTTAAAGTTGCCAAGGTTGGACACCCCTGGTTTAAGGTCTCCTGCTTTGGATGGGGTTGGACTAGAAGACCTCCAAAGTCCCTTCCAGTCTTATGATTCTATCTGGGCATCTTGCTTAAGGACAGTTTTACTCATCGACCCAGATTCTGGTCCCAATTTTGGCTATATATTCAGGGGCTACCTCTAGTCATCTCTTTTCTACTAGTTGCAACTTTTGAGGTCAAGCAACCTCCGTGAGCAGTGGTGGGATTCCAAACTGCGCACTACCGGTTCTGTGCACTTTACGGGTGCCCGTGTGCTTCCTGCAGGCGCGCGCAGCCCTCTAAGATCGCCATCACACAGCACTCAAAGATCGCCTGAGCCGTTTTTAGTTCAGCTGAGGCGCGGCAATCTGTTCTGCCGCATGAATCAGCTGAGCTAAAAATCAGTGGGATAAAGGACGCGTGCGCCTAACACGCGCTTTGTGCATGCACGCAAGACTCAAAGATCGCCCTCGGTGAGTTGAGCTGTCTTTTAGCTCAGCTGAGGTGCGGCAATCCGCCCTGCCGCATGAATCAGCTGAGCTAAAAATCAGTGGGATAAAGGACGGGAAAGAGCAGAGGCGGGTGGGTGGGGCCAGCTGGTTCTCTGAACTGTTCAACATTTCTGCTAGCGGTACGCCAGAACCAGTCCGAACTGGCTGAATACCACCTCTGATTATGAGACTGTCCACAACATAGTTCCACAATAGAAAAATGGGATTATATCTACCCATTCATGTCTTCCCATTAGATATTCTTTTTTTTTTGCATGTGTAATTCTATAATATTTAAGTTAGAATATTATGTTTGGAAGAATTCTGGTATTAGTCCACTATTAATGCACTTCAATTAATAACAAATCCATGTACAATAAAAGCTGTTCCAATTATTCATTGAACTATCTATTCAAAGAAGGTTAATTAAATCGAGATTATCAAATATTTCGTTGGTAATATGCATCTTTTCTTCATTGTCAGATTAAAAATACTAGTTCAGAAGCTGAAGTAGAACATTGGATGGATTATGTTAAAGACAGGTAAGACTGAGTAGGCTTCATTTCAAATCATTTGTTAGGATTGCTTTCTTTTTTTATAATCTTCTTAAACATTTACTATTTGTCACAGAATTAGACACCTAACTCTGTTGTCAATTCTGAGAAAATGAGAATACACTGAAACTCGAAGTTGTCTGGCCCATTCCTTTGTGGGATGGGTTGTTGCATTGAGAAGACAGCATGGAGCTTTAGTGCATTACTTTTCCTTTCCCAGAGCAGAAAAAGTACAAGGCCTGTAGGCAACTTGGCACATAATCCCCAGCTTTTTGTTAGTCTTCCAATGGGAAGGCATTTCTGCATAATACTAAACTGGTTCCTGGCCACCTATTCAGTTCTAAGATTGAGAGAAAAGCTGTAGTTGGAAACGCTCTTTGTCTCACGGATGAGACTCTAAAGCAGGGGTGGGCAAACTACGGCCTGCGGGCCACATCCGGCCCGTTGGTCTGTCCAATGCAGCCCACCCCTGAAAAAAAATCGCTGCCATTGGTCTGTCCAATCCGGCCCGCCCCTGAAAAAAAATCACTGGGCGTGGCGTATTGCCCTGTGCCGCGTGGCCCCCAAAGCTGCAAAACAGTGTGGAGCGATCTAGGGGTAGGAAAGAAAAGAAATTTGCAAAGGCCTCGGCTGGGAGTTCGAAATCACCTTCGAGTGCGACCTCTCCGAAGGTGAGTCCCCGCCGATCCCCCCTTTTTTTCCGGGGCTTCCAGGCTTAAACTTTGCAAAGGCAAAGCTTGCAGTCTGGAGCGTCTTCCCGCCGAGGAGCGGGAAGGGTTCCACCCGGCGGGCGGGGTGGAGCCACCTAAAGCTAGGCCGCTGCTGGTGGAGCCTTGCCCTGGCTTGGTGCCCCGTTTCCCGGCTCGGCGGTCCTGCTCGGGCGGCACTTTAAAAGCCTGCTCCCAGCACCCGAGCAACTTCCCAGCAACTTTCCGCTTGCGCCTGGCCCCGAGCCACGCGGCGGAGGGGAAGCCCGGCGGGCGGGCAGGCGGGCTGCTTGGAGGAGGCGACCCGGCGGCGCTCCGGGCTTCCCCTCCGCCTTGCGGCTCGGAGCGAGGCGCGAGCGCCCGCAAGTTAAAACGAAGCGGAAAGTTGCTGGGAAGTTGCTCGGTTTTCCGGGGCTTCCAGGGCTTTGCAAAGGCAAAGTTTGCAGGCTGGAGCATCTTCCCGCCGAGGAGCAGGAAGGGTTCCGCCCAGTGGGCGGGGCGGGCTGCTTGGAGCGGGCTGCTGTGCGGCTCGGGGCGAGGTGCGAGCGCCCGCGAGTTAAAATGAAGCCGCTCAGGCGGCACTTTAAAAGCCTGCTTCTAGCACCCGAGCAACTTCCCAGCAACTTTCGGCTTCCTTTTAATTCGCGGGCGTCGCGCCTGGCCCCGAGCTGCGTGGCGGAAGGGAAGCCCGGTGGGCGGGCGGGCAGGCTGCTTGGAGGAGGCTCCGGGCTTCCCCTCCGCCAGGCGCAAGCGCCCGCGAGTTAAAACGAAGCCGAAAGTTTCTGGGAAGTTGCTCGGGTTTCCAGGGCTTCCAGGGCTTTGCAAAGGCAAAGTTTGCAGGCTGGAGCGTCTTCCCGCCAAGGAGCGGGAAGGGTTCCGCCCGGCGGGCAGGCGGGCTGCTTAAACTTTGCTCGGGCGGCACTTTAAAAGCGTGCTCCCAGCACCCGAGCAACTTCCCAGCAACTTTCGGCTTCCTTTTAACTCGCGGGCGCTCGCGCCTGGCCCCGAGCCGCGCGGCAGAGGGGAAGCCCGGTGGGCGGGCAGGCTGCTTGGAGGAGGCGACCCGGCGGTGCTCCGGCAGCAGCAACAGGCAGTTTCGCCCGGGCTCCGCTCAGGTGTCCGGCTGGGGCTGTCAGGAGTTGCTACTGCCGGCGCAGCTCCGTGCAGCTCCAGTCCCGCGTTGCCTTGGGAAGGAAAAGACAAAACCAGGAGCCGCTGAGCCTGAGCCTCCGGTGCCGCTGCTCCTGTTGCAAAGCTCAGGCGCGCGCAGCCCTCTAAGATCGCCATCACACAGCACTCAAAGATCGCCTGAGCTGTTTTTAGTCTTTCCCTTCCCGAGGCAACGCGGGACTGGAGCCGCACGGAGCCGCGCCGGCGGTAGCAACTCCTGACTCAGGGGTCCTCCGAGGGGAGGGGAAGGAGGAGAAGAGGGGGCGGAAGGGGGGGGCGATTCCCAAAAAATCTTGTGCTGACCCGGCCCGTCTGTCAAATTTTAAAAGTCAATGCGGCCCCCGAGCCAAAAAGTTTGCCCACCCCTGCTCTAAAGGCTTGTAATGACACTAATTTTCACCAGTCGCAGGTTTTAGATTTTAAAAACTGGGAAAGATTCAATCTCTGAAGGGAGAAGCTTTAAATACATTTCTTTGTGTAGAATAGGGAAGTATGTTTACTTTACAATTCTCTTTTTAACACTTCTATTTCATAATTTGTTTTTTGTCATTAGCACATTGTCTTACAATAAGGTCTAGGTCCCCCCCCCCCCCCATTTCTGTTTATTGCTTCTGGTCTCAGTTTTTGTTAATTACCTGTCCCATCTCGTTTTAAAAGATTAGCAAAATTACCATCTGCACAGGGATTCTTGAAAAGGAGCAATTTGCAATCAGCAGAAATTAAGCATTGTGTATTGATTCTAAAGAATACTGATACTTAGAAATGTTTATGACTCATCTTAATTAAACAGTAAGAGGCATTGGGTGCAGTTGGAAGATGAAGAATTAAAAAGTATAAAATCAATTTCAAATGAAAGGGATAATCTGTAAGGATTAGACTACATAAAAGCATGGAAATTTCAAAGAGATGGGGAATTATTAGTGTACATGTGTGGTTGTTAGCAGATACTGGGTGCTGATTTGGAGATAATTGCCTCTAAAGATTCCAGTGCCATCTTCAACTTTCAGCAGGATACAGAAATTCAAAAAATATCTCACATTAGCTCAGAATTATTTGGTGTTTTTTCTTCATTTTTAGCATCCCTTTAGCCAAAAAAGCAGAGGTAGGCACACTTTAAGAATAATATAGCCAGATTGACTTAGTTGAGACATTTGAGTTGTATAGTTGAGGCATTTCTGATATTAAGCAATGTTTTGATTTTCTAGAAGAGGCTGGCCCTTAAAGAGTTGGAGTTGAATAAATCAGATTTATCCAATAAACTTATTGGACAATAGTTGCTTGAAGCAATGTAATTAAAATATTGCAACACAGCTGAGCTTTTTGTAAAACAATCTATGTATAGTTTCTGAAACATCTTTTTTTTCCCTGTTACTAAATTACAGCATAACTTAAATGCCTCTCTGCTGATAAGTGGTGGGAGTTAGCATATGAACTTAAGAGTATGAGTATATATCTGATGTGGATAATGTGGAGTCATCTGTGTTAAATTACTGAAACTGACTGATGTCTTAAGAATTAGTTCAACCAAGAATATTCTGAGCATTTCATGAGCTCGTTAGAGATGACAAACTTCAAACATGCTTTTCAGGATTTCTTACATTTCTTGCATTTTCTGCAAAATGTTCTGAAATATAATAGCAAAGATCGGGTTTACCTATTAAAATCCGATTCTCCAAATTGATTTAAATCCAGCTTAGTATGATTAAGAGCCATGGTGGCACTGTGATTAGAATGCAGTATTGCAGGCTAATTCTGCTGACTGCCAAGCGGCATCTCAGCGCCTACCGATGGCACACTGTCACCCCTCGCACTTCTTAGCTGGGACTCCTACTTCTTCCCACTTAATGACCAGCATGGTCCTGGGGTTACGATGGCTTTACAAGAGCCCTGGCATTCACTATTGCATGCAAACTCTGCCCACAGCCAGGAGTTCAATCCTGACCGGCTCAAGGTTGACTCCACCTTCCATCCTTCTGAGGTTGGTGAAATGGTTTAGGACCCAGATTGTTGGGGTCGATATGCTGACTCTGTAAACCACTTAGGGTGACCTGTAAAAGCACTGTGAGGTGGTATATAAATCAAAGTGCTATTGCAATTAAATTATGTGTACCTTTTTGTTGTAATTTATACATGTGTATTATGTATATAATTTATATTTGAATTTACATTTTTAATTTACATATTCTGTCTGTTTGATAAAAATGGAATAGGTTGTGCAAAGTAAAATCCAAGTATATATGATCCAAATCTATTAAAATAAATAGACATTGTCTTTCCACCCCCAGTAACAATAATCTAGAATGTAGAATTAAGTTGCCTATATAGTATTGCTTATTCATTTTAAGGCTGTCTTTAGAGGAGGCAAGAATTAGTCTGATACTATGATTATGGCAGGCTAGAAACTGGGAGACTAACTTTCATCCAGTTACTCCCTTCCAACTCTAGGAAGAAGGCTTTAGCAAAACCATTTCTGAAAAAGTTGCCAAGACAAATGCGAGGACTTGTCAAGGCATCCACCATGAGTCAGCACTGACCTGAAATCAAAGATTTCCTTTATTTTAAAAATTAAATGGTAACATCTCACATGGGTCATTTCTGCAGAATTGTTTTCTCCAGTGTGGCACTTATCCTGTGGCTGTAGCTACTCCATTTGATATTTTGAATTATTTCAGTTGTATGACTGATTAACGTGGGATAACATTTGCCTTTGTTCTACTTACATGCACATATTTTAATAGAACAAGAAAGGAGTCTTTTTCAACTTAAGGGCTGAGCCAAAGGAAGGTGGCTTTCTGGTGATAACTGACACAAATGCTGCTGGAAATAAAATGTTTCTATTGAAAAACTCTTTTCTTTTTTTAAAGACCTACAAATGACATGGGATACCCAATGAATTCTGGAAAAATGTATAGCTTGGGATGGAAACCCAAGGTCTCTTGGAAGGAAGGAATCAAGAAAACAAGTATGTTATCTGTACAGTGAAACAGGAGGGGGGCACAAGGGAAATGAGCAGCCATCATAAGCTAATTTGGAAAATAAAATCCACTTAATTCACACACCAATTTGTCACAGAATTAGACAGCTAAAGCTACAATTTCTATAGTGGGGAACTTAATTAAACTTGCTTTTGAGTTTTATGAGGTTAATTTTATCAGCTTGAAATCTGAACACAAATGATCTGTTTCAGAGCAGCTATTGTGTTTGGCAGAATGACTACTAAATCCTGGGTTTTAGTTGTCCAGTTGCCATGTCTTCTTAGACTCTCAGAGAGAGCTCAATGCTTAGTTACTGTATAAGAGCAGCAGAAAGTAGCTAATTCTTATCTACCATATTTTTTTGCACTATAAGACGCTCCAGACCACAAGACACATCTAGCTTTTGGGGAGGAAAACAAGAACAAAATAATAATCTGCCTCTGCCTCCCAGCAATTTGCTTCCTTGCAGCAAACAGCCTGGTCAGCTTCAGCACAGCCTGATTTAGCACAAGTAGCCGATAGGCGGTTAGATCGGCCTCCCAGAATACTGCTGATCGGCTGTTCCAAGCTGCGGGGATCGCCGCCACCACCACTGCCCATTGCCATTGCTACCTATTGCCACCTCCACGCACCTCATTTTCAGCCTCCTTGCACCCCATTTTTGGCCTCCATGTGCCCCATTGGCCCACGGGGATTGCCGCCGCCTGGAACGGGCTGAAAATGTGGAGGCCAAAAATGGGGCACACAGAGGTGGCGATAGAGGGTGATGGGTGGCAGCGATTCCAGCAGCCTGGAACAGCTGATCGGCAGTATTCTGGGAGGCAGCTGCTTGTGCTGAAGCTGACCAGGCTGTTTGCTGCAAGGAGGCAAATTGCTGGGAGGCAGAGGCTGACAGGTGGGGGTCAGTGGGTGGGTGGGGCTTCGGCAACATTCGCTCTATAAGACAGACATTTCCACCCACTTTTTTTGGTGCGGGGGGGAGTGCATCTTACAGTGCAAAAAATACGGTATATACTTTACATGTAGCATTTTTGTTTCAACAGAATACATTTTATCTTATTGCTTGCATGGTTCCATGTGTTCAGCTTCATCATTTATATGATGCATTTCTTGGGGGGGTGGGGGTGGGGAATTGCAGCTCTCGGGTTTCGGTTCCATATGAAAAATGCAGGTAGTCCTTGACTTATGACCGCAATTGATCCCAACTTTTCTTTGTTAAGTGAGACATTCGTTAAGTGAGCTTTGCCCGCATTTTATGACCTTTCTTGCCACAGTTGTTAAGTGAATCACTGCGGTTATAAGCTAGTAACCCAGCTGTTAAGTGAATCTGGCTTCCCCCATGGTCTTTGCTTGTCAGAAAGCTGCAAAAGGGATCACATGACCCCAGGGACTCTGCAACCGTCATAAATATGAATCCGTTGTCAAGCTTCTGAATTCTGATCACATGATCATGGGGATACTGTAAAGGTCATCAGTCACATTTTTCAGTGCCATTGTAACTTTGAACGGTCACTAAACAAACTGTTGTAAGTCGAGGTCTGCCTGTATACTCATTCTGTCCTGAGAACATTAGTGGATGGGATTCAAAAACTCATTTGTGTGAGTGAGAGGCATCTCTCTTTTTTTTTTTAAAGAGTCCCTCTGCTTCTTTGCAAACTTCCACAGGCCTTGCGCTTCATTGTGGAAGATCCTCCCACAAATATATACCGTACTAGAGGGTTGGCATGTCTCCCCCCCCCTTTTTTGGGGGGGAATATTTTGGTTCTCTAGAAAAACAACACAAGATTTTCTGTACTTTAAACACAGGAAAAATTTGTGGATTGGAATCCACATTTGAATGTGTGAGGCATTACGTAGATAAGAGTAATTTGATTTGATTTGAATGGAAAATAGCCTATTATATAAATCAGCCCAGCCCCATTCATCCACAAGAGATATCGCTAGACAACTAAGTGTACGCAAAGATAGAAATCCTTGCGGTTTTCAACTTCCACAGCTAGTCAATGCAGGCCAGGGATAGTTAGGCCAGCTAGTCAATGCAGGCCAGGGATGTCAAACTGGCGGCCCGCGGGCCGGATGCGTCATGCACAGGCCACGCCCACCTCAGTTCCGCAAAGGCAAAAAACATCGTGACGACGTCACAATTTGGCCTGTGGAGTGTTCGGGATTGAAAGGAAGAAACAAAGCTACTGAATAGGTAGGGTATGGATTATGTGAGCCACACGCATAGCAGCTGTGAGAATTCCTGAAAACAGTTCTGTCATTTCCTGGGATAGTGGGCTGCTTCTGTGGCTACCAGGCACAGCCATTGCTAATATAGCCATGATTGTCAGCCATTGCTAATATAGCCATGATTTTATAGCATAATATTTTTCCATCATTAGATGAGAAATTTCAATCAAATTGAAAATTGTTGGAAAGTTGCTAGTATGCAGAGAGCCCCTATAAGCTGTTACTGATGGTGAAAGGGTATAAGGTTATAAGTGGATTGTTAGTGACTAATTTCATTTAATTTCTTAAATTAAAACTGGCATGGATTTACCTTACAAGAGTGTTTATGGTGTAAATTATTTGTTTTGTTTTTAATCCTAGTTGAATGGTATCAAGAGAACTTCCACAACTGGAAAAATCCAGAAAAGGCTTTGGAACCGTTTCCTGTTGCTGGAGAATCTGTATGAATTTGTTTGCATCAGAGCTGAAAGGGAGGGAAAGAAGAAATCATACTACCTCAACATGTTAAGAGGAAAAAAATAGAGTGGTTGAAGATGAAGGTGTATTGTATTCAAGAAATAAGAAGTATCAGCAGAATAATAGAATCAAATTTTTGAATTCCCAATGTAATCCTCTTTGGGGCCAAATTAATTTTACAAACACTCCAGTACTGAAGCTTTAAAATGACATTTCAGGACAGTAACATTTATCCCTTTAAAATTGCACTTTAAAGTTGCTCTTTTGTATTGTTACAATATTGTATTATCAGTATTATTAAAATTTAGTCAATATTTTATACTTAAGGGGTAGGCATTTTCTTCATCATGTTTACCAGAGGACTTTAGTAATTATTCATTTTTAAAGTACTGCTCTGTGCTGATACCTGATGATTCCAGAGCTGAATTGAATTTTTCTACTTGCTCAACAGAAATTGATTTATGGACAATGAAGTCATATTTTAACAGAATAAAAATATATTTCAATTATATTTTATATTTATTTTATAAAAAATACTCTGCGTGAAATAAATTACTAGATTCTTTTAAGGGCGATGAGTGTTTTAAGATTCATATAAAGCAGGGGTGTCAAACTGGCGGCCCCTGGACCAAATGCATCATGTGCAGGCTGCACCCACCCCAGTTCTGTGAATGGGAAAAGCGTGAAATGCCACATGATAGCAACATGACGTGGCGAGTTTGACACCCATGATATAAAAAGCATACTTATGGTTCTTCTGAGCTAAAAGTATGTGTGGAGTCACCTCTCCTTGGTTCAAATGCATTCATTGGCTTCCTGGTTTCCAGCTTCCAGTCATCCACAAGTTCAAAATAAACATGTAAGAATAGCGTCGGCCCAATCTACGGCAGCATGTAAATTGTATTTTCACTAAAGAATGCTGAAATAATGCTTGCATAATGGAAACCTTCAGATTTATCTGAAAAATATTTTGCAATGTGATTAAAAAGGATCATTATTCTTTTAGTTTTAAAGAACAATGATCCTTTTTTAATCACGTTGCAAAGTATGTATGGTTTGACAGTTCCTGCAATACTTAGGTAAGAAATCTGAATTAATTTGGTAATTCAGACTTGGTAATTCAGGACCTTTTCTAGATACTTTCTAAAAATAAACTAAATGCTCATTAAAACTTATGTGAGGCACATCATCGCAGAGAAATAGAGCCATTTGTTAGGATAAAAGTTATATGTAGTAACATTTTACACCACAGGAATCAAATACTGGTCAGCATGAAGAGGAAAAAAAAAATAAAGCAGTGGTCCCGTTTATACTAATTACTAAAAATAACAAGATACAAAAAAAATATATATCTCATCATTAAGCATTGAAATCATCCAAGTGTCTGCTTAAAAACATTTAAAAGGTTTCCTGAAAACAGGAGGTCTGGGACATTTTTTTCCATGATGTAAAAGCATGTTCCCTTCAATTTGATGAAGGCAAGATCTTTAGCAAGCTTTCTCTAGTTGACCTAATCAGAAGGACAGAGTCTGTGGATGAGAAAATGCCACACACTCCCTTGAGAACTGATAACCGTATAATTGGTTGCCCCAACTGAATGTACTCCAGCAATAACACCATTTCCAGAATTGCTTGAAAAGCATACACTATTTTCTTCATAAGCATGTTAATGGTCAAAACAAAATTGTGATTGCAATTTGGAAACAGTTCAAAACTAACCCTCCTACAGAAAAAACTTTAAAATTCTACCTGCTCTTAGAGTTGTACTTAATAGATCTATTGTAGATTTTCTGCTGTGTGGATTGTCTCCTCTCAGAGCTGGGAACTCTATATATGTGATTTTATTTATTTAGGTAAGTTATATGACAGCCAGTTTTGCAATAGTGGTTTCCAAGAATTAAAATAGCTGCAAGAAGTAACCTGTGATGTCTGAGGTAAAAACTGTAGCAGGAGAATACTCCCTAAACTCTTGGCCTGAATGCCAAATGGACTCTCTTCCATCTTCCCCAGCCAATAGCATCAATGATAGGTATACCAGTTCAGAATGTCATCCGAGTTTTCATAATTACAGCTAAATTCAAGCTTGGGAACAATTTTATGGGGAAAAAAACATAGCCAAGCTGAAATGGAAAATGATTAATGGAAGAGGTTGATATGCTGATTTTTGACTTGGGTTTCGATGTATCTGACTTATGCTGGTATTTGCCTGAATAACTTGATAGCTGAAATTGCTCAAAGAATGATAACTTTGCTGGTTTGGTGTGTGTATGTTTGTCTTTAAAAAAACAACACAGGGTTGTGTATGAAATCCAATGGAACTGAATCCAGCATCCCATAATCAAATGAATTATGGGGAAAAGCTTTAAAAATAAATGATGTTAATGTAATGTTGAACTTTGTACCAAAACTCTGGAAATTTTATCAGGAATTATATTCTATATAATATTCCAGATGTCAAGAAATGGTTTTTGGAACTGTGTTTGTTTTTAAAAAGGAAATATTTCCTTCCAATTGAAGGATGCGGTTACATATGGTAACATGTATTATTAGTAAAAGCAAGTAAGCAGAGATTGTCATATCACACAATAATATTTTGTACAGATATTGCAGTAGTGTATTCTTTAGTTAACCAGGCAACTAATTATAAATGAGATTTTCATCCTAATTTGTATTTTTAGTTGGCTTCTTTTTTAAAAAAAACTTTGTTATGTATATATAATTTTTTTAAAAAAGATTATTTTCATTATCGTTCTTTACAGCCAGCAGTTGTCAAGATTGTCTAGAGTAGTTTTCCCAACCTCAGCTACTTTAAATTGAGTGAATAGCTCTTCTATTAAGCGCTGGCTGGGAATTCTGGGAGTTGTAGTCTGCTCAGTTTAAAGTTGCTGAGGTTGAGAAACTACTCTAGGCAAACTTGACAACTGCTGGCTGTAAAAAAAAATTACAATGAAAGTGATGTACTGTACTTCACCAGATCGTTGGGTTATCTGTTTTATCATTTTTTCCAAAACCATGTGTGGATTTTAGTCCAATATTTCTTTGCATCTGAACATCTCCACCACATATGGTAATATGAACCAGGTATCTGATGACATTTCCAGCATTTATCCAATTTATTCTTAAACATTCTCACAAGTCTCGTCCGGGTAGGTGCCACCTGTAAAACTTCTTACACAAATTTTCTTTATATGCAAGTTGACATTGTCATTTTATAATTTTGAGACCACAATTTTTGCCACTTATCCAAATCAATCCCATATCCAAAATTTCCCCCCCAAGCAATCATCGTTTCTTTAACTTGCTCCTCCTCCAATTTAAATTCTAATAGATATCCATAAAGTTTTTTTAACTACCTTTTCATCAGTACCCATCCAAATTTTATCTAAGTCAGTCAACTTATCGTAGATCGTTGGGTTATCTAGCCTGGAGTCCGAGGTGCTCTGAGAGGCCGACGGTTAAAAGGTGATGATGATCGACGCGGGCACGAACTTCTCGCTTTCTACCCAAGAGATTTTTGCTTAGGAACGCGGCAGAGACGGAGCAAGAATGGGGCGGAGAAGCGCCCTCTGGACGTGGGCAGAGGTAATGCAGCCCCATTTCACGCGCCAGAGATTAAGAGGGAAAAGTAGGTTCTTTTGCTCAAAGGAGGGACCTTTTCCATCGCTCTTACCTGCTTCTGCGGTTCCATTCCAACCTGCAGGGATGTTTTAATTCAAGACTTCCTAGAGATCCTCAGCCATTCCAGGTCATAGTTTTGTCCCAAGGGTGCTTTTTCAAGAGGCAGCTGGACTTTCTGGTTTTTTCTTTCTTTTTTTTGAAGGCTTGGATGAGAAGCGAAACGTCTTCAGAGAAAAAGCAGAAAGTCCAGTTGAAAAGGCACCTTTGGGATTCCTCGTGGTGCAATTCGCATGGCGAGAACTGCTCTCCCATGCTTATAGTTCTGTCCAATTATGCCATTTGTTTCTACTCGCCAAACGAAGGCAACAGGGGCTAAAGCTGTGAGATTTGCATCATGAATCCGAGTAGCTTCTAGTGGAAAGATAGCCGGTGCTTTTAGTAAGCGTTAGAAAACCAGCCTCGTAAAAAAAGCAAAATAAAAGCCCTTGAGTGATTTGCACCTGTTGGCATGCAAATTATTAGTAGTAGTAGCAGAAGCAGCTAATTAAGGAGAACTGCGCGCTGGACCAAAAGAAAAAAAAATCCAACTGTATATACTACTAGATCTTTCCGTTATTTGAAATATAACTAACGCAGAGATCCAATAAAATCAGCAGAAAAGAATCGATCAAGTTTTTTCTACTTCATCTGGAAGAGAAGTTGATCAACTGCCGAAATAGCTCAGTTGGGAGAGCGTTAGACTGAAGATCTAAAGGTCCCTGGTTCGATCCCGGGTTTCGGCAATCTCTTTTCTGTTCTATTTTTTTTTTTTTTTACTTTGCTCAACAAGAATGTTTCTTCCCAATCTCGACCCGGTTGCAGAACAGCCTCGTGTAATCCCGTGTATCGGAGGAATACACGTGAAGGAATTATTGCTGCTCTTTTCCACAAGGTTTTCGGTGCATAATAGGAGGAAGGAAAAAGACGCTGCGGGTGGAGAGAGGGGGGGAAATGGGAGGGGGGGAGAGAGAGAGAAAGGAAGGAAGGAAGGAAGGAAGGAAGAAAGAAAGAAAGAAAGAAAGAAAGAAAGAAAGAAAGAAAGAAAGAAAGAAAGAAAGAAGCAAGCTGCCTTTGAAAATACTTAGCTGGACCCCGCAGCCTAACTTGATTTCTGGAATTGCAGCAGGAGAAAATACAGGATATTAGTTCATTTTTCGCCTTTCTCATGACCATGTGAAGTCTTGCATTGGAGACTTGGTGTTTGGTTCAAAAGTGGGACTTGCTTCCATAGTTGGCTAAGTTCTCCGGCGCCCCCAGTTTGGCCTGGAGCTGAGAAGAGCTTGATCCCTGAATTTGAGATATAGACAATCCCAAATCTGAGGGCTTCTTTGTCCACCCGAAAATAGAAATCACCAACCAATT